CCCCAAAACCCCAAAACCCCAAAACCCCAAAACCCCAGAAGAGAGAAAATTATTGAAATATTTATTCATTTAGTTCATTTCGTTCATTGCGGATTGGATAGTGTCTAGGTTTTCGAGAAGAGAGTTTAATTCCTTATCTCAAATCAAGGAGAAGTCATTAATATTTGTGGAGAATTGGTTCATCTCATCGTTGATAGATTCAACTTTCTTCTTAAGAATATTGTGAAGTTCAGGGATACTAGCATTTCTGAATTCATCATCCATTACATCCTCCTCATTTTCGTCTTGATTGGATTCTACGAAAGCTTCTTTCTTATCTTCAATTTTAATTATTTTATATGCACTCTTCTTGTTAAGATCTTCTATCTCCTTAATTCTGTGTTCATGTAGAGGATCTCTGATCATTTTAGAGTATCTCTTCGTAGACTCAGCTTTGATTTTGCTGGCAATTTCTGGATGCTTTGCAAAGACTTCTTTCATAAATTTCTTTTGTAAGGCAACTACTTTGGTCTCTTTTAATGCTTGATAAATAAATTCACTTCTCTTGTTATTACAGACATAATAGTCACACACAAAGGAGTCATCTCTGAAGAACTTTATGAGTTTGATATTATTGCTCTCAGTTCCTGGGACTCTGAAACCAACTCCTAGAGTTCCCTCAATAATGAAGTAAATCTCAGTGACATCGTCTTCTTCATCGTAGACGATTTCATTCTCATCGAATTTTCTTGGCATGAAACCAAATGCAACATCGTAGAGGAACTCACTTTCTCTGTTTTCAAAGGTGTTAAAGAACTGTCTGAATTTGTAGAAGTGATCCTGAAATAGATAATTGATCATTATCGTTCTCTTTATACTCCTAGGTAAAGCATTCAAGTATTCATCATCTTTAGATATCGAAGCAAGCCTATCGTTTGCCCAAAAATAGGTGAAGTGATCGTCTATCTGGTTTATCAATGACCTTGGGAGAGGTTTATTATTTGTATATCTTGTTAGAAGAGTCATCCAGTTATGTAGCTCAGTACCTTTGTTTATAATACCCATCTTCTCATCATAATTTGTTATGATTTCAATAAAGTTTCCCATAATAAATGAGAAAAAGGCGACTCCTAGAAGCATGATTATACAGGCTAGAATTCTCTCGAGGTTACTCACAGGATAATAATCACCATATCCAACTGTAGAAAGTGTCGTTAAAGCGAAATAACATGACACAATAAGTTTCCTGAAGTTGCCTTCATTCTCCAATTCAAAATTTTTAACAAAAGTCTGTTCTGCACTTGCTGGATTCATTTCGTTCGAAATAAGATACCAGAAGCATCCCAAGAAATAAGTGATAATAATTGCGATAATTATAAGCCTGAAGATTTTATAGAAATACATCAGCATATATTGGGCAACTATTCTCTCATCCCTTGATGAGCTCTCAAAGAAGGATCTCAGAAGCTGATTAAACCTCGAAATATCAATCAGTTTGATAAGCCTTGGCAATCTGAACAGCCTGAATAGTTTAGTCAGTAAAGCATTTTGCTGTAAGATTGCGGTGAACGGAAATACTGACACAAAATCAACAAAGAACCATCCTCTGAACATGTATCTCAGGGCTATTTTCTTGTGATCTCTCACATTTTCATAAGTCTCAGAGTCGTTATACTCTTGGAAGAAGTTAAAAACAAGATCTCAAATAAAGAAAACTTCTACACCCCAATCAAAAGCGAGATGGAGGGTACTATCTGGGCTTGAAAAAGCAACATAAAAGATTGAAGTAATACAGGAGTATCCTACAAGAAGCAAGATCAATATATCAAAAATAGCTTTCCACTTAGAATTTTTATCAATAATGAGCCTATCTGCAAATGATTGCTTTGGTACCTTTTCTTTCTCCTCTCTACAAAATTATACCCAGTCGTACCTCAAATGCATTGTAGATTTACTCTGAAAGGCTCCTTGTGATGCAAAGTTCACCTTTGAGTCCTTAGCTCCGCCTGTCTTAGTTTCGTCCTTTTGTCCTGGTCCTGTGTCTCCATCCCTTTCCATCATTCCCATATGAGGGATGATAAAAAGAGTTTCGAATAATTTTGGCTGAGGGCACAATCAAAAGTTATTCATATTTATACAAATTCAATTATATTTTAATATAAGGGGTTTTGGGGTTTTGGGGTTTTGGGGTTTTGGGG